GGAAAAGATGTGTATTGGACGGGTAAAGACGGTGTATGGGGGAAAAGATGTGTATTGGACGGGTAAAGACGGTGTATGGGGGAAAAGATGTGTATTGGACGGGTAAAGACGTGTATTTGACGGGAATTTCCGTGTAGAACACATTTGTCACGGGGGGCTTTCTTCAACAAAACGAAGCCCTGCCGGTTCGACAAGCTCTAAATCTTTTGAGGGAGCAGCGGACGCCATTCGACCCGCAAAGGCTACTTCTGACACAGCTGCATGTTCTCATTTGTCACCGTATGACAGGCTTTGGAAGGAAAATGCCACCCAATACAGCCAAAATGGCTACAATCAGAAAACGTGCATGTCAATTGACTTTTGTGTTGTGTTTTTCCTGAAAGACGTGTAGTGCACATGAATTTCTGCATGCACCACTATTTTGGATCATTTGGGGTTGCAGGATGTTGCAGGTATGCATGGCTTTTGTGCATCGTGCACGGTTCTGTCGGCTTTCTTGACTTTAACCTGTCTGTTCATATCTGTATCTGTTCCAAACACCTCCGTTTTCGAGCATGTATCCGACGCACCGTCCTCGACCTAATGGAGAAAAGAAGCGGCTTTCGAGAAGCCGGAGTTCGGAACCCGGAGGCCCTGCGGGCCCCCGGAGGCCCAGTCTCGAGTCGAACTGGAACCACTGGTGACCAGCGACCTTGTGGGCCGGATGCCACGGGTGGTGAGTCCAACTCCTGAAAATGCACCGTCATCGCGAAGAAGCGTGCGCGCTGTGACCAACGGTGTTTTCTGGGGGAGAGCCCCGAAGAGTTCGAGCCCCTGGAAGGTTCCAAAAAAAGACCTCAACGGATTGGTGGGGGGTAGGGCAGGGATCCGGCGGGAGGCGCGAGGCATGGCCGGGGCAGGCTCTCCTCTCTCCAAAAGAGACTCGGGATGCCCGGCAGAGGTGCCACCTTGTGCCATTGCTGGCTGTTCATGAAGGCGAACCTGCGCGGAATTGAGATGTTGATGGAGGCCTCCATCAATACCACGAGGTGCCAAAGACTAGTGTCCGACTACGAAGTATTGGCAGTGGTTGAAAAAGAACTCCCAGGTGTTTTCACGAGCTCCTGGAATGGCTTGGATCACTCCTCTGACCACGACCCACAAGGGGATTCTGGACCAACTCGGACCTTCTGCGGGTGCCGAACTTGGAGGCGTTTCAGGGTGCCCCCTGTCACATCCACTGGATGGAACTCCAATGCATTTTTTGGGATCTGCTATTCTTCTGATATATCTTAGGTAGCTCCATCCCCCTTTTTGCACCCGAGTTCCGGCCCTCGTTTCTTCGCCCTGACACCGAAACGCGTCGTCTTCACCGAAGCACGCCGTTCGCGGGCGCTGTGAGTTCCGAGGAGTCAGACGAGGTGAATGGAACTGGGTGACTCGAATCTTTTTCGCGATACTCTCGAATCACTGGGGAAGTTGCTTTACTCTCACCCTAGCTCGAGCCCCGACCGGCTACTCTCCGAACGGCCCCGACTCCAACCATCTGCCCCTTCCGCCTCCTTCTGCCTCGACCGTCCGAACCCGAACGGTCCGACGCAAAGAGGCGCGCCGAGAAAAAAACAACAGACTTCAAAAACAAATCAGATCATCCCCGCAAGAACCCCCAAACAGTGTGTGTGAGGTCCATAAGCAGAAAATCTAGAGATCTAGACGCATTGGGATCCAGAGAGGTGATGGTGCTGGTGAAGGCGGAGATCGTGGTGATGGTGGCGGCGGTGGTGAGTGTGACTGTGAGTGTGAGCGTGAGTGTGAGTGTGAGTGAGAGTGTGAGTGTGAGTGTGAGTGTGAGAATGTGTGTGAGTGTGAGTGTGAGAGTGAGAGTGATGAGAGTGAGAGAGTGAGAGAGTGAGAGTGATGAGAGTGAGAGTGATGAGAGTGAGAGTGATGAGAGTGATGAGAGTGAGAGAGTGAGAGAGTGAGAGAGTGAGAGAGTGAGAGAGTGAGAGAGAGAGTGAGTGAGTGAGTGAGTGAGTGAGTGAGTGCGTGAGTGCGTGAGTGCGTGAGTGCGTGAGTGCGTGAGTGCGTGAGTGCGTGAGTGCGTGCGTGAGTGCGTGAGTGCGTGAGTGCGTGAGTGCGGGAGTGCGTGAGTGCGTGAGTGCGTGAGTGCGTGAGTGCGTGAGTGCGTGAGTGCGTGAGTGCGGGAGTGCGCGAGTGCGTGAGTGCGTGAGTGCGTGAGTGCGTGAGTGCGTGAGTGCGCGAGTGAGTGAGTGTGTGAGTGTGTGCGTGTGTGAGTGCGAGTGTGAGAGGCGGGAGGTGGGCATCTGAGAGCACAAAGTGCTGCGCCTGCCACGAAACCTGCACATCGAGGTTCACAAAGTTCTGTGCCTGCCACGAAATCTGCACTTCGAGGGGCCACAAAGTGCTGTGCCTGCCACGAAATCTGCACTTCGAGGTTCACAAAGTGCTGCGCCTGCCACGAAATCTGCAAACGAGCCACCTGTCGAAAAACTACGATTCACTGCACCTGTCACGAAATCAGAGCACCTCGACGATCACCACCATGTCCAAAGTGCTGCACCTGCCACGAAATCTGCACTTCGAAGTCAAACCGTTCCGATCCCTTGCGCCTGTCACGAAAAGTCGACTTTGGACCACCAAAGTGCGAGATTTCCCTTGCGCCTGCCACGCAAAGTGATCACCATGTGCGAAAATGTGCACGGCGCCTCAACGAGAGCGCAGTCGCGACAAGCACTCGCCGCCGCCACCCAGATTTTGCGAGCCTGCGCAGTCGAAATGCACTTCGAGGATTTCAAGAGGCATGAATGTACTGTAAATAGCAGTGAATTGGCCGTTGACGTCCGCGCGCCCCAGCGATCTCAGCAGCTGCTTGACCCTTACCGTGAGAACCCCTAAGTGTGTCCACACTGTTTGGGGAACTAAAAACATGAAGAAAGACAAACAAATGAATCCCGTACTCGCGCAAGTACAGTTCTTCTAGTCTCGCACGGTCCGAGATCTCCTTTTCTGTTGAATCGGTCGGCACCCCAAAGAGTCGCTCAGTTGAGTAGGTGCGCTCATGCAAAGTCCACCAAGAGCAGCGAAGTATTCTGTGGTATTCGTGCGAAGCAGCTGTCCCTGATTGCCTGACCCAGCCGAAAAATGATGAAACATGGTGCGTAGATATGCTTTCAATCCATCAGTCACGAAGTTCCATTCAAAAACACTTCAAATATAAACTTGCAAGACAAAAACTCAGATCAGTTCAGCTGGATCTTCTGCTCCGCAGTTTGGTATTATCCGAGCCTGCCCCCTTCGATGAAGTCTTAACGTCAGGGCATCGACTCAGCGGTGGCCGCGGCATGGTGCGACCCACACAGCTGCACACCATGCGCTGCCACCCACATGAAAGCGCTGGCGCACACACCGCGAAAACGGAGTGATACGCCCAGGCCAGCTGGTCCAATGATCAAAGGTGGACTTGGACAAAAATGAGAGGAATTTTCCATACAACGGCAGCCGCGCTCGCAACCGCTAAGTTCGTGCGGCAACGCGGAGCGAGAACTGCCCATGAATTCGGCAAACAATAGCCTGTCGAGAGGGCTATAGGAGTCTTTCATTGGTCAACATCTCTTATGAGACCTATGTCCAATAGGCTGAACATGTCTGAAGCTAACCCCAAACGTCCTTGGCAAGCTTTACAGATTGCACTTGCTGAGCTCTAGCATCGCTCTGAATGCTCAGACCTCCCCAACCCGGTTACTGGCGGTGGCGTCGACTGAAACGAGACTCCTCATGAAGAAAGAACTCCAAGGGTGCCACAGGGTGCCACGGGAGGCCACAGGGGGCACCAGGGTGCCTGTGTCACTGTCTTGATGATTTTCCCTGGGCGTCCATGGGAGGCGTAGATGTTTCAGTGTACTACTTGATGTGTCGAGACTCAAGAAGACTTGTAAGCGATAACGAAGTCCATGGCCCCTTCAAAGCACTCCTAATTATACTGAATCTCAACTGTTGAACTACCTTTAAGACTTCAACTCAATACATCTGACTGGAGGTCTGAGCGATGCCATTGGTATTGTTGAGCAGAATTTGCACGTATTGGATAGGGTCAACCCGGCGACTTCTGATCCGTGTCCTCCGAACCGTTCACTCACCTCAGAATCAGACTGCTCACTTCAGCATCAGAGGTCGTCCGGATGGCCCTACCTTTGTATCTCAGGGTCCGCATGGCGCCCAGCACAAAATTGGCCCACAGGAGACACCCCGTTTCAGCCAAACTCGAAGGCCGGAACATCTGCCATGTGAAAAAAGAATCGTCCTGATTAGATTGTTCGTGTCTTTTGGGACATCGTTTTTGCTGGGGTGTTTCCCGGGACAACCGCGACGCATCAAGCAGGGGTTGAAACCGCATGAGCAGGTAAGGACAAGCCACTGCCCTCACGCGTCGAATTTCAAGACTTGCACACACCTGAGGGCAAGTGGTGAGCTCGAACATGACCAACACTTGGGCGTTTTCGCCAAGTTTTGGGGTGCAAAGCCAAGACCTGTGTCAGTCTGCATCCAAGCTACTGAGGGGATCAGATGCAGAAAAGCCATGTAACGCCTCAATCAAAATTGTTCCCAGCTGTTGTGTCGTTTCGTTTACAGTAAACGGTCTGACGCTCGGCTCAACGCGGAGGGCAAACCGGTGACTTTTGAGTGCAGTCATCGTGGTGGTGCTATAGTGCTATAGTGGTGGTCGTGGTCGTGGTCGTTTGGTTGTGGCGGTGGGTGGGCCATGTTACCCCAGGTTTCAAATGCTAAGCCAAGCGGCCAAAGTGTTCACAGCGTGAAATAGGAGAACGAGTCGGCAAGGCAAATGTGACTCGAAGTCCTCAGCGCGACTGGACGAAGCCGCGGAACGTCACGGGGTTTTCGTGACGCCCACGGTGACACCGCCGAACTCACCAGGCCACTTCGCTTCCGGAGGTCGAATCAGGTCGCCCACAATGACTTCGCATCTCCGGGTCTTGGTCAACCACTCAAATCAGATTCCTGAGGGCAAATCTCTTCACCACAGAGGTGAAGAATGGCCTGGAGAAGAGGCCACTATAACCTCCTCACTTACTTCGGGATGTTGGACCAGAACGAGTAGATCCCCAGGTCGTTGCACTGAAAAACGCCATTCATCTAGCCAGTAGTTATCTTTTAAACTGATGAAAAAATTCCCTGAGGGCATCTGGGGCATCCCCCATGCAATACTGAGGTGGACATTTCCAACCCTCTATTGATCATGAACCAAGTCCTGCCAATCCACGATCTTTGCAGGCAATTGCCAATCGGGGTGTCGGGCCTCGCCGGCTTGTCTTCAGTGTCCAATGAGCCCCGAAAAATCAATTGACATGCAAACCCGAATGCCTCTGCGCAGCAGGGGCCGTTCAAACAAGCCCCCCACTGGGCTCCCCAACTTGGATCCTGGTGGCTCCAGTCCGGGTGGGGGACGCAGCGACACCACCTGGTCACGGGCCAGAGATCGGATGCAACGAGTCCACAAAGCAAACGAATGGATGGGAGGGCTGGGAATGCAATGGCCTCCAACCTCAGAACGATGGCCTTCAACCTACTAGAGATGGCCCTCCAATCGGAGGATGTGGATGTGTCTTTTTAGAGGTATGGCTGGGTAGACCCGTCTATTTTCGCCCTTCGGGCCGTTCTTCCTCTGCCGACTTGTCCTCCAAAACCGGCGTCGCGAGGGCGTTTCATTCCCGGCGCGAGGGAGGCTTCCCCAACCCCCAACCCTCTCACCATCGCCCCTTCCCCGCCTTCCAGGGGGTGCCCAGGTCGGGCTGGCGAGACCTCGACCGCTTGGTCAACGAGTCAACGAGTCAACGAGTCTCGTGAGATCCATCGCTACCGACGGCCGGGCTCCACCTTCGGACCTTCGGGTGTCAGGAGGGTCCAAAGACCTTCTGAAGGACTTGGAGCCCTATGGGCCCTACGGGACCATGAACCGCATAAAG